GAAAGCTATTCCAATGTGACTGCAATTACAGAGATTGCAGAGTTATCCCTAGTAAATGAGGGAGCACAAATACGTAAGAGATGACCCTGTTGGGTACCACACCTACCGCTGAGAGTATATAAATGCCCTTGTCCAAAAGGATGACATTCAAACTCCAAAACTACCACTGTTCTCGAAACTTCTCTGGCTCCCTTGGAGGATACCTGAGCTACCCAGTCTCCTCCTCCTGTTCCTCTTCCTACCCCACCACTAACCTCTTCTCTCCAAGCACCTCCCAGCTGGGCTTTTATCTCTACAGTGACTGTCAGGTGACCTGCTACAAGCCCACCAGTTGCCAGACCTCCTGTGTGGTATCCAGACCCTTCCAGATGCCTTGCTACCTCCCGAGGACCTCCGTGCTCTACAGTCCCTACCAGCGTAAGACAACTTACGCTGGGTTTCTGGGATTTGGTTCCAGCAGTTGCCACCCACTACGCTGTGGATCTGGACATCCTTATTCCCTGGGCTGTGGATCAAGGAGCTGCTACTCCCCATGCTGCGGATTCAGTGACTTCAGACTCCAGCGTTATAGAGTCTGTGGCTTCCCTTCCCTGAGCTATGGCTCCAGATTCTGTTTCCCAAGATATTTTACTGCTAGGACCTGCCAGTCATCTTGTTAGAGACCAACCTGTGAATCTTGGTCTTAGTGATTCTCTTGCTACATGTCTGTGTCTTTTTGACTATTGAGGTCAAGATCTCTACTCAATACAGCCAATGTTTTCATTCTCACCACCTGCCACTCTCTTTTTATTTCCATCACCTGCTTCTTGCATCGCCATCTTCTGGCAGACTCTAAAATTAAGGAGTAATCCAAGATTAAATCCTAATATCTAAATGATTGATAGATGTATGCTATTTGATTTACATTAAACTGCAATTCAAAGCAAAAAAATTAATATAATAAATGTATGCAATCTGATATCCAAGTATATTGTCTTAAGTCATTATTATTTTGCCTGCAGTTTTTGTATTCAAGAATTTGGGAAATTTCAATGAACATCAATGTTATTCTCTAAATTGCTTTTGGGCACATATAATTTGGTAGCTTTGAGAAAATTTCTGTTGACTTTGACTATATACCCTACAGGAAGTAATAATATCTTGTAAGACATAGTGTTTTGCATGTGAAGCCTTGAAACCAGCAGTGAGGATTATTTGAGGGTGAAAAACATAGTTATATGAATATAAGAAAACAAAGAAGTTAGTAGATAAACTATAAATTCAGAAAATAAGAAATATTTTTCAAATGTGCTGTATACTGAGATTAAAACTTAACTAAACATCCAGTATCTCTTAGTGGATTTTCAGTCAAGAGAAAAATGAGAGTTAAGTTGTAAGAACAAGGACTTTGCTCTTTGTTGGTGGGCATAAGTGCCAGGAACTCCCACAGGTGAGATATTCCTGAGTCTCACCTCTGGACATGCGTAAGGAAACTCACAGTGGTCTTAGTTAGGATTAAATGCAGTCAGCAGGTGATACTAACTCCTGCTGAACAGAGAGACTTAGACTTCAACATAAATGAGAACTACTTAAAAGTTATTTACCTAAATGAAAATGCATGCATAAAATGACATAATGGCATATCTTTTGCACCTGCTAGTGAAAACGCTTCTAAAAGATTCACTTTTGAAGTGAATATTGATATATGCTCCACAAAATTATATGTTTTACTTCACTTGTCAATGATATATAACCTCATGTTGGATGTCATCATACTGTTGTATAAATTATGTGCTCACTATCAATTTGCTTTTGTAGTAGAAATTCGATACTTAATTTTTTTAAAAATAGAAATCAATTTTTATTGTGGTTCATTATCCAAAAAGGACCTTTTCCTTTAATTTAAATAAGAAAAGAGTATTTTGACAAACTGATTCAGAAATCACCTGGGATGCCCTTATCCCAGATCAGAATGCCTGGGTTTGAGTCCTAGTTCTACTTCTGATTTTACCTTTCTGCTAATGTGTACCCTAGAAGGCAGCAGGTGATAGGTCAAGTACTTGAGTCCCTGCTACCCATGTGGGGTACCCAGGTGGAGTTACTGGCTCCTAGGATTGAACTGGCTTTGCCTTGGCTATTGTGGGCATTTGGTGAGCCAGAAGATGGGAGTTATCTCTCTCTTTCTCCCCATTTCAGTGGAATAAACAAATAAATAAATAATTTTAAAAAGACATCAATAAACAACAAAATAATTGTAGATTGAAGCAACAAAATATGTGACCAATCCCCTTAGCAAGAGCATTTGGATTATTCCTTATGCACTTGTGTCAGCCTCAATTTCGTATCCGACGTCATGTATGCCCGATCTGGATTTCTCAAGTTTCCCACTACCTCCACCTAGTGTTGACTTGGTGTATGTCACTATATTTTGCTGGCTAGAAAGGGCTTTAGCACCACTGCTGGCTAGGTCTGAAAAAAAAAAAAAAATGAACCTCCACCAAGAGTTGAGCATGGAAACTGTCCTATCAATCATTTATGATAGTCTTTGTTTCTCAACTGATCCTTCTGCAAGCTCTCTTTGAAATAAAAGTGGTTATTCTATTTGCATTATGAGAAGTCAGACATGAAGAGACACTGTATCTTCCGGTTTTAACAATTAATTGATGTAAAACCTCTATTCATTGTACATGAAGCTTCTACTCTATTAGATGAAACCATACAAAAAATAAAATACAGGGGGCTGGGATTTTAGCTTAGTGGGTTAAGCCGCCGCCTATGCTGTGGTCATCCCATATCAGAGATCTGGTTCAAGTTCCAGCTGCTCTACTTCCTTTCTATCTCCCTGCTAACGCACTTGGGGAAGCAGCAGAAGATGGCTCAAGTGCCTGGGCCCCTCCCATCCACATGGGAGATGCAGATAGAGCTACAGGCTCCTGGCTTTTTGCAGACCTAGACTGGGTTGTTGTGGCTATTTGGGAAGTGAACCAGTAGGTGGAAGATCTGTTTCTCTGACTCTGCCCTCCTCTCCCTCCCTCTCTCTGTACAACTCTGCCTTTCAAATAAATAAAATGAATATGTAGGCTGGCGCTGCAGCTCACTAGGCTAATCCTCCGCCTAGCGGCACAGGCACACCAGGTTCTAGTCCCGGTCAGGGCACCGCATTCTGTCCCGGTTGCCCCTCTTCCAGGCCAGCTCTCTGCTGTGGCCAGGGAGTGCAGTGGAGGATGGCCCAAGTGCTTGGGCCCTGCACCCCATGGGAGACCAGGAGAAGTACCTGGCTCCTGCCATCGGATCAGCACGGTGCGCCAGCCGCAGCGCGCCGGCCACAGCGGCCATTGGAGGGTGAAGACCTTTCTCTCTGTCTCTCTCTCTCACTGTCCACCCTGCCTGTCAAAAAAAGTGAATATGTATATATTCATATATTATTGTAAACAATACATCACATATGTTAATAAGATTATTGATAATATATAAAACAAAACAAAACAAAACAAAAAAACAGAGGCAAATGCCACTGCTGAGATAGAAAAGAATAAATAGATCTATGGCTACCCTGTGGTTAAGAATCTAAGCTATTATTATGTGTTTTATGTATTCATATTTTGTACCTTTAATAGCATTGCCCTTGACCAAATGCTTATGGTATAACTTCTGGTTTGTAATTAATGGCTCCTGGAGGGTTTGTTGAATCCTCTAATAGAGAAAGCTTGCACTGGTTTTTGAACTTTTCATTTTGTTTTGTTTTTCAAACAAGTGCTATCAATGAAGCAAGTAGAAAAGCAAGAGTACTTTCGTATCTCATCATGTTTATAGAACTGATTATATGAACAACTTGGGGTGTACTTGCTAATAAATTTTGGGATGTGTGAGGTTTTATTGAGAAACTGGATCTTTTATCTGTCAGAATGGCTGAGAGAACAGGAACCTTATCCAATTTACCTTTCTAATATCTGATTTCTTACTGTATGTCTTCATTTCAAATTCTCACATACTTTAAAAAATATTTTATAAAATTAACTTTCCTTCCCAAATTATGTGATGTAGTCAATTTAATACTCATTGTAAGTTATAATCATTTTTTCATAAAATACTGAAGTTTCTGTCTCTCTATAAAGTAGGTCACAGCTTATTAGCTTGTTGTAGTTTTAAAAATATGTGTTCTTCCTTCCACCATGCGAAGCATTAATGAGTACGATAAACATGGATGATGAAAAGATTTCTTCCAAATCAGAAAGGAAACTGGGTAAGTTCACTCATAAAAGTTGAAATTTTGAGGGGCTGGCGCTTGTGCTGTAGCGGGGCACTGGTTCAAGTCCCAGCTGCTCCACTTCCCATCTTCCCATCCAGCTCTCTGCTATGGCTTTGGAAAGGGGTAGAAGATGGCCCAAGTTCTTGGGCCCCTGCAGCTGCATGGGGGACCAGGAAGAGGTTCCTGGCTCTTGGCTTTAGATCAGCGCAATTTCAGCCATTGCGGCCAACTGGGGAGCAGACCAGCGGATGGAAGACCTCTCTCTCTCTCACTCTCTGCCTCTCTTTCTCTCTCTGTGTAATGCTTTCAAATAAATAAATAAATATTTTAAAAAGATAAAGTTTTGAATAATAAGTCTAAGATACAAAAAAACTCAGTTGTTTTTAAATAGTTTTGAAGGCAAAAAAGCAAATCATTTTTTTAAAAAAGATTTATTTATTTCAAAGTCAGAGTTACACAGACAGAGAAGGAGAGGCAGAGAGAGAGAGGTCTTCCATCCACTGGTTCACTCCCCAGCTGGCCGCAATGTCCACAGCTGCGCCAATCCAAAGCCAGGAGCCAGGAACTTCTGCATCTCCCAGGAGGGTGCAGTGGACCAAGGGTGTGGGCCATCTCCTATTGCTTTCCCAGGCCATAGCAGAGAACTGGATTGGAAGTGGAGCAGCCAGGACTTGAACCAGCGTCCATATGGGTTGCTGGCACTGCAGGCAGTGGTTTTACCTGCTATGACGCAGCATCGGCCCCGCAAACCATATTAAAGCAGAAATGCAGATATCATGCAACATAATTTTATTTAAAGTTGTATTTTCCATTTGTAAAATTTAAAATGATTCAGTAAGAGAAACCACAAGGAGATACATTTAAAAAGAAGCAAGAATCAGGATTGCATGTCTGTATAATTACACGGAAGCAGTTTTGGCATCTTTTCCCAATGGATCCGTTTTCAAGAGATTGAAATTTAAATTATTCCTAATCTATGATGAGTAACAGTAAACGTCAAATTTGTAGACTAGTGATAAGATAGGATATTTATTGTATAGATCTTGGTATCTTGGGTATCAGCTTTAAATTTCTGACTCCTTAAATTCATGATCAGTGGAAGCCACAAGTTGGCTGGTGAGAAATGGACTGGCAGCTTCTGGAAGAGAAGTAGGTTGGGCGGTAAAAATTGGATCTATAATTTATAGACGAGAAAGTGCGGGGACCACAACCCACTGACTGGAAACCATGGGATCCACAGCCCAGGAATGGGGAGCCACAACCAAAAGAGTGAAAGCCCCTGGACCCAAAGCCCACAGGTCTAGCAAAAGTCGTCTGGCAGGGACTGCAGAAAATGGAGGTCCTCGGACGATAGCAGGATGTATGGCAGGGGCTGGACACCACACCACAGGACTCCTCGTAGCTGTTGGGATCACAGTAGGTCTCCTGACAGCTGCTATGGAGAGAAGATCCCAGCTGGTAGTGGTTTGGAGATTGGAGGTCCGTGCTGTAGAACACGTTGCTGGGGTAGGAAGAGCCACATGAAGAGCCTGGATGGCGCAGGTAACCTCCAAAGGAGCGGGAGGAGAAGTTTCCAGAGCAGCAGTTGTAGGACATGGTGGCAGAAGGCGAGACTTACAATGACAAGGTTCGGAGTGCGAATGTCACATCTTGGACTGTGGCGTTTATATACCCTGATGAGTGGGTGTGTCATCCTTAGGGCACATGAAAACAAGTTACCTGCTGCTTTTAATTGAATTGAAAAGATCGCCATAGTCATGCATTTGTAGTCTGTGTGGTTTTAAACTGCAATGCGCAGTAATGTTCCTGCCTTGGAATTCAGGTAATAGTGTTGAATCTTCAAAGCTATTATTCATCTTCCTTTAGCAAAGGTCAGCCTGCAGATCACTCAGAGAATTGCTTTAGAGGTAGGCAGTGTATGGGCTGAGGGAAGCAGGCTTAATTAAAAATAATTCATACGCCTTTCACAATCTGTCTCAAAACTGTTGCCATCTGGTTAACAAAGTTCTTATGGATTTATTCACGGTCACTTCTTTTAAACAAAAACATGCATCGATTGTTGCAGCAAAGTGGCAATCTTAGTTAATGAATAGTGTCATCTGAAAGCAGCAACGGTGACATGCATGACATACTAATTTTTTATCAGATATCAATTTGGATAATTTCAGTACGATTTTAACTGAGAGATTTATTTATTTCCCCCATTCCTGCTTAAAACTCTGTGCAGATGATAGACAGTTGTAGATTTTTCTTTGTATGGCTGTGTTAGAAACTGCACAGTTTTTATGATTTTTGCAGTGTTAGAGATTATTCTTCTCAGATGATGAGGAAATATTAATATAAGAACAAAACATGTGGCAAATGTTCAATGCTTTTCTATCTCCAATTACAGCCTTTCCCACTAACAAGAGTCCCTAGAATCTTGAAATGTCCTTTTTCCACAGACAGTTTCTAAGGTAATGGCCTTGACATATTGGGTGGAAGGAGATTCTTCTTTTGCCTCAGGAAGCAGCATACATCACTTTGACTTAAATTGTTTTCAGATGTTTCTGACAAGTATTACAAAATTTCTACAATCGTGGTCATCTTTTTTCTTGCTATATGACTTTTATTCTACTTCCATGTGAGAGTGTAATGAAGACTGATACCTTGAGGTAGAGCAGAGATTGAAAAGTTTTATCTTGCTGTGGCTTCTGTGCATTTGACGTGTATGTTTCATAGAAAAGCGTTTCACACCACTTTAGAACAGGAATGTCTGTATAGTCAAAATTACTTAATATCTGATTTCATAGAGCATTCTTCCACAGAGATTGCTTATAGTAGAACAGATGACATTGAATGAAATGAGCAAATTCAATTTAGTTGTGTTAAATATTTATGTGTATGTTTTGATGTTCAATATTTTATTTACAAATAAAATGGAAGGTTTGGAATCTACTAGAATGATTTTTGCTACATCTAATTGAGATTCTCACAAGAATTGTTTATTACATAAAATAGAGAGCAAACCATGTTACCTTATAAATGAAACATGATTAGATATAGATTTCTGTACTGAAAATGTCCAGATTCATACAGCCTACAGTTGGTCTTCTATCAGATTGGAATCCCATTTATAACATCATGATTGATATTCCCAATCCCATGAAGATGGAATCACATTACCTGAAAAAGTCACTTGTTCTACATTTTCAGCTTAAACTTCCACTCACTAATCCTAACTTCATAGAATGTGTCTTAGCTTGTGGTTTATTAGCTCCTTCTATTTTGCTTCATAAAATATGTGGTAGCTTTACTGTGAATTAGTCTCCTCCCTACTCTGTATAATACTAGGAAGGTATTGTTAACTCTGATTTGGCAGTCATTGTCCAAATTCCTTCTATACCCCTCCCATTTTTCCCAGCCTCCTATAATCAGTATTCTGTGTTCAAACTGAGATTCTTGGTTCCCCATGTAAGGCAGAGCATGCAGTACTTGTCTTTGTATGTCTCGATTCTTTTTTTTAACATGATGTCCTCCAGTTCCATCAATTTTAATGGAAATGCCAGGATATCATCTTTTTGTGAATGAATAATATCTCATTGTGTATGTATACCACATTCATTCATCTGGATGACCCCTTGATTGAATCAATATCTTGGCCATAACATGGTGAAACAGGTATGTCTTTCATACAATGATTTCATTTCTATTGGATTTATAATCAGTAGTGGGATCACTGGATCATGTGGCAGTTCTATTTCTTGCTTCCACCACCCTAATTATTTTTTTTTTATTTGACAGATAGAGTTAGACAGTGAAAGAGAGAGAGAGAGACAGAGAGGTCTTCCTTCCATTGGTTCACCCCCCAAATGGCTGCCATGGCTGGAGCTACGCCGATCTGAAGTCAGGAGCCAGGTGCTTTTCTTTGGTCTCCCACGTAGGTGCAGGCACCCAAGCACTTGGGCCATCCTCCACTGCCCTCCTGGGCCACAGAGCTGGACTGGAACAGGAGCAACCAGGACTAGAACCCGGCGCCCATATGGGATGCCGGAGCCACAGAGGATTAACCAAGTGAGCCCCAACTACCCCAATTATTTTCATTTATCTATTTCTACATGTCCAATCTGTAACATTTATGGACATTTAAAACACTTATGTTTTATAGGTTTATACAAAGAAGTTTATATTTGAAGTTTTAGTATTGCTGTAAACTATTCAGAATAAGGAATATCCATCCTGTTTCCCACAGTGGAGGTATTCATTTACATTCCCAGCGAAGTGTTCTCCTGTCTCCATATCAGTGTCTACATTTGTTATTTTCTGTCTTTTTGGTAATAGCTGTTCTAACAGGGATGGAATGGCAATCTCATTGTGTTTTTGATTTATATTTCCCCTAATGGTTGGTGATGCTTATCATTTTTTCATATATTTGTTGACCATTTGTATGTCTTCCTTTGAGAAGTGTCTTTTCAAGTCCTTTGCCAATTTCTTAGCTAGATTTTTGTTTTTTGAGTTTTTGAGTTCCTGATATACAGTGGATATTAATTTTTGGTCTGATAACTTTTCTCTCATTCAGATGATGTCTCTTCCATGTATTAGTTATAAGCAACCTATGAATTTTTGAAGCTCCCTCATGCATGCCACTTTACACTTGCACCGTGTCAGCCATCCCAAAGGCACTCAGTCTCTGTTTCATATTGTCATGTTGTTTGACCTTATAAAGATCATCTGTATCTAGGAATTCTTCAAATTCTTGATGTTTCTGTGAAGTCTATACAAGGTACACATTCTTCTCACTTCTTACTTTTCTTTATTTCCTGTAGTAAAAACCCCATTTCACTTCCTGAGAGGAAAGAAAGGAATGAAGGTCCATATTTTATATATAGTGCTTATTCTTTTTTTGTTGTTGATCTTCTCTATAACAAACAAAATTTACTTCTATTTTAGGGATATGGATGGTATTTATAATCTAGATTTTTCTTGAGTTCTATCAAGAAACAAGTCAACTTTGTAGCAAGAGATTTCTGGCTTACAATTTAATTTTCAAAACATCTTTATTTCTAAATACTTGTGTATGTAAGAACAGTGTGGCTGCTTGTGTTGAAAGGAGACCTAAACCATATGTGACAGACACTCATTTAGTATTTCTACCAATTAAAGTTGTTATTGGGTTGTTTCTTCTACAAGCTTGACACGATTTAGTAGAAAGAATTGATACTGAAGTTTTTATTTTCTGTTCTCAATTGAGTTTCTTAATTTGAAGCAATATAAATGTCCCTTGCAGGCTACAGAGTACTTTTCAAAGCTTTAACCACAGCAGAATTCGCATTGTGTTGTCCTCTTGACCCACTATCTTGATGCACATGGTTAATGAAACATCAGTCTTATAGGCACAATTATGGTGGTTTTCATTTTACCCGAGCTAGATGAATGAGAAATGGCATTTTTGTTTCATGAACAATTGCTTTGAAAAACTAATGAAATTCTGTCACTTACAAGTCTGCATTCATAAAAAAGTTCTTTGAAGGTTAATGCATTTCATTTTGACTGGAGCCTAATTAAGTATTCTCATTAAATGGGGCACATGGTCCTACACCCATTGCTGGAGTATATAAGTGTCCCTATGTTGAAGGCAGCAGTCACACTCACTCCTCCCTGCAGCTCAGCTGAACCCAGAACATCTGGCAACATGTCTTACAACTGCAGCTCTGGAAACTTCTCCTCCCGCTCTTTTGGAAACTATCTGGGGAACTCAGTTTCCACCTGTGATTCTTTCTACCCCACCAATGTAGTCTATTCTCCAAGAACCTACCAGGTGGGATCCTCTCTCCAAGGTACCTGTCAGGAAACCTTCTCTGAGCCCACTGGCTTCCAGACATCTTTCACTGTGACCAGGCCCTGCCACACATCATTCTACCACCCAAAGAATTCCATCTTCTTTAGCCCCTGCCAGACAAATCACACTGGATCTATTGGATATGGAAATGCTGGTTTTGGTTCTTTTGGTTATGGAAACACTGGCTTCCACTCTGTGGGCTGTGGGTCCAACTTCTTCCGTCCAAGTTATTTTTCATCCAGGAGCTCCCATTCTACTTGTTACCAACCAGCCTTTGGCTCTCGCTGTTTTGGATCAAGTTACTAAGTATTCTTCATTGATTCATGATTATTTCTGCACTTTATGGACCATTAACCCTCATTCTTCACAATATCTATGATCATTGACAGTCTTCATCCCTAGATCTCATCATCAACAGCATCCTTGAAGTATATGATTTACCGTGGAGAGAGTAACTTTGACCTGTGACCGCTCCTAAATCTGAAGTGCCTTGTATCTTGAGTTTTGATTCTCATTGCAGGGCTCAAAAATATTTCTCGGATTCTCTCATTATTCTACAATTCTTTCAACCAAGTTTATTTTGAGTAGATATATTTTAAATAAACTTATTTCTCTATCATGAATACTGGCGTTTTGTTTTCTTTGACTTATATGATACATGTAATAAAGTCACCCCATACTTGCAACTGTGTTCATTAGGTAAACATTTTGTGATTTTCTATGTTTCATATGTTTCCCTAGTATTTTGTTGGGCAGAAAAAAGGAAGTTTGAATTGAAATTTAATTGTACAACATATCTCATGTCTTGAAAGATTTAGATCTCCTAATAAGTACACTTGTTCATATATTTCCTTCAGAACATTTTTTGCAGTTTGAAATTCAGAAAAAAGTATTACATTTCAGTTATATACCAGACATTGTGCTCAACAAAGACAAAGTCTCTGCTTTCAAGAAAATTTTAAGTTACCAGAATTTGGTAAGTGCACTAATGGGAACTGAAACATAAGATTCAGTAGGAAGGGGCAGGTGTTTTGATACAGTGGGCTAATCTATCACCTACAAGACTGGCATCCCATATGGGCACTGATTCAAGTTCCTGCTGTCCCACGTAAAATACAGGTTCCTGCTAATGTACCTGGAAAAGCAGTGGAAGACAGAACACGTGCTTGGGCCCCAGCACCTACTTTGGAGTGATGGATGGAGTTCCTGATACCTGGCTTCATTCTGGCCCAGCCCTAGTCGTTGTGAGCATTTGGAGAGTGAACAAGTGGATGGGAGATATTTCTCTCTCTCTTTCTCTCTCTTTCTCTGTCTCTCTTTCTCTCTCTCTTTCCCTCTCTCTTTCTCTCCCCTCTGTAACTCTGCCTTTCAAATAAATAAATAAATAGTTCTTTAAAAAATTCAGTGGAGGGGCTGGATCTGTGAAACAGTAGGCTATACCTTGTCCTGCAGTGCTGGCATCCCATATGGATGCTGGTTCGTGTCCTGGGTGCTCCTCTTCCAATCTAGCTTTCTGCTATGGCCTAGGAAAACAACGAAAAATGGCACAAGTGCTTGGGCCCCTGTACCTACATGGGAGACCCAGAAAAAGCTCCTGGCTCCTGCCTTCAGATCAGCCCAGCTCTGACTATTGCAGTCATTTGGGGAGGGGAACCAGCAAATGGAAGACTTTTCTATCTCTTCCTCTCTGTCTATAACTCTCTCAAATAAATAAATTTTAAAAGATTCAGTGGAAAGCCAGAAACAATAAGGACTTCACTAGGAGTATGTGAAGCAATCATGTCAAATTTTTATAAAATATAGAAAGAATATAGTACTACTTCATTTAAAAAAAAAAAACAGCATATATTCTGACTTAATGTATCCATTGGAGAACTACCAAATGTTATTACACTTGAAAAGGACTTGGTGAAAATACCAGTCAGGGAAAATGGAGAGGTCTCTGAGACCCATCCTACTGTAGGGGTGTGTCGCATGTCCATAAACTTCATAGAATGGAAGGGGGGATTACAGAGCTAAAAAAAGTCCTCAGGGAAACTCTAAGAAAGTTTTGCAAGATACCCATCAAGGGAGTCCCTCATCTCCCAGCAATGACCTTGCCTCAGTATTCCTGGCTAGGTCAGTCAATGATCAGGAGTAGAGGACAACATGACCTAGGCACAAATGTAACTACTGGAATACATGACTGCTGATGACATTCTGACCATAATGCCTTCTGAAGCAGGAGTTGTGATAGGCACATTTTAAGAGCTTTTATATTCATGATATTTGTTCAATTTAAAGCAAAGTAAAACACTGATAAACACCGGTGAAAGAATGAATTATAATGTGGAGTTGTCTATGAGTTGCACGTGGCATAATTTATTTCCCTTTCTTTCATCAAAAAGTTAATTATCATGACAGAATATTTATAGGACCCATGAAATACTGCAAATGAAAATGAGAGAGAATCCATATTTTTTAACAGTTATTTTTTTTTTTACTTTAACGGATGTATTTATCAAACTGAATTCACTAGGGTAAAATCAGGAAACTACTTCATTTTTCTGACACCATTGAGTTTCACATTTGATCTGGAGGTTTTAACTTCCCCGAATCCCTGAACAATACAATGAGCAGATCTAAGATCTCACTAAGATCTTAAGAAACACTTTCATTTCATACTAGTAGTTAAGTCCAATCAACTGTAAATTAAAAACCAGTCTGGTAACCACATCAAAGCTACTCCCATTTCCCTCAGCTCTGATCTGTCATGTGATTTCACAGGTGGTTTGGAACAGGTTGGCGATTTTTTTTACACCTCCTTCCTATACCTTCTCATTCATTTGCAAGTTGCTCCTTGCTCATTCTGTTCAAGTCAAAGAGAAAGATTGAGAGGGAAGGAAATGACAAGTAAGGCAGTCTGTCTCAAAGTGGTGCCTTTGAATACCTGTGTCAACATGACTTAGTTGTTTGTTTCAATAAACTTTTGCTGAGAAAATGGGAGATGAAACCAGTAAATCATTTCATGATACATTTCAAGAAATTCCTATAGATTGATTTATTATAGACGGTGGTCTTCATACCCGGATAAGCAATTCCCTAATTAAGCAGCAGTTAGCATGTCAAGCAATGCATACCAGTATCCTCTCTTGGCTATGCACATTCATTCTAATCCACCATGGCATAATAAGGTTGCCCATTTCTGCTTAATTATCCATCTTGAAGATCTACTTTAAACCATTTGAGCCCAGAGTCTCCCTTTTAACACCCCTCTTTAGAGACACGGCAAAAGCTCAGTCATAATAACATTCCTCCTAACTACAAGGAATTTAATTCATGTAGTTTTGCCTTTTTCACAGATTGGTGATATTACAGGTTTGCTTAATAGGGATGCAGTCTTTCAGCTTAGTTAGTACTCTGCTTTGGTCTGGAAATATCCTCAGTCATCACATGCTCTGGGCTGAATGTTTGTGTCTCTTCCTACAAATTCATGAATCAAAATCCTAATACTTAGAGAGCTGGTGTTTGAAGAGGTGCACTTGGGAAGTAATTAGGTTATCAGAATAAAATGCTTATGTTTGGAATTAGCACACACATAGGAAAAGCCATGAGACAGTTTTCTTCCTCTTTCTCTATACTGAGCACACAGAGAGAAGGTACCATCTGCCCATCTGGAAGAAGGCCCTCTATGAACTAAATTGGTCAATATCTTCATCTTGCTCTTCCCAGCCATTAGAATTATGAGAAGTAAATATCTGTCATTTGAGCGATCCAATCTGTGATATCTTGTGACAACAGTGCAATCTGATGACTGCAATGTAAACATCTGGAAGCTCGCCTTTTCCCTTGTGGAGATTTGTTTGTGTTTTCTAGAAGCTGCCTTCTTAATTCTTCACTACGCTTCTCATAACCTGTTGCATGGAAGTGTTTCCATGACGGAATTAGTGGTGATTTCTTCCTGGCTCTTCATCCTCAATGTATATCCACCAATGCTACATGGGATCCCACCTTCTTCTCCCTAGATCTGCTTGCTCACCAAGAGGTGGCCTTCATGGCCATTGATCTGAAGATGGTCCTTTTGGCCCATAAGATTAGACCCACACAACTCACGCATACTCACTGCATTGTCTGTGGAAGTACGCTTTGGTCCTAGAGCAGGTGTCTTTCTATCCAGCCATTATTAAGGACTCACAGGAGTTTTTTAAAATGAGACCACTGGTCTTAATAACCACCAAAATGAAGAAGATACGGAAACACTTAGGAGCATTTACAGGGAACTGGATCAAAAACAGAACATCCAGGACTTGAACTGGTACTCCAAAACCCATATATTTGGCGTCTCTGGTAGTGACTTAACCTACTGTGCCACAATGCTGGCCCAAGAAACACTCAGTGTTTCCTACCTAATGTCATGCATGGCACTAGGGCAAACGATTTTGTTTCTTTTTCTTTCCTTCCTTCCTCTCTCCCTTCCTTCCTTCCTTCCTTCCTTCCTTCCTTCCTTCCTTCCTTCCTTCCTCTCTCCCTTCCTTCCTTCCTTCCTACCTTCCTTCCTCCCTCCCTCCCTCCCTCTCTCTCTCTCCTTCTTCCTTCCTTCCTTCCTTCCTTCCTTCCTTCCTTCCTTCCTTCCTTTCTTCTAAAATGGCACATTTAATGAATACATCCTGTATTTTAATTTGTCTTCATTAGATAAATTCTATTTGTTGTTGTTTTCACAGTTTAATTTATTAAACTGAACATAAAACAGGTTATTGCTGAAATATTGACCTATGTCATGTCAATAGGTTTATATCCCATCAGAAATTATTTATTTATATAATTCATTCAGAAAATTGCTTTCAAAGTAGGTATTCATTGAACAAGCTTTCTTGAGCACCTAGAAAATATATTGCTATTATTGTATGTAATGAGCTACTGTCTTTCCTTCTGACAAGCTACCACACAGGAGTGGTCCTTGTAACCTCTCACAAAGGGGAAGGGATAGTATATGTGTGTGCTTGAAGGGTATGGTATCATCCTGCCAGAATGAAAGTCACTTCAGAGAAAACTTCTCTCTCATATAAGTGTATAGATGTCTGTGAATGAGAGTAAGGTTCTCAAGAATTGTATAACTGCTGTCACCCCCTTTTTGGGGGGTTGTGACCACAATTAAAATGTTACGTCATTTAAAAATTTTATCTGTTGGCTTTGAGAATTCTGCCAAACTTGTAGCCAAGTGAGAATAACATGTAACATCCTTTACATAAAGATATCAAATGGAACTCAATGCACAGGTCAATATTGATGAAGTGATCTAAATAACTACAATTTTACATAAAATACCTTAGAAATTCATAAACATAGATTTATAGCCAACAGAACACTATCACACAACAAATGATATTCTATACAATTTACCTTTGTATCAGAGATACCAAACCAACAACTGGTGGGCCAAATTCAATCACCATAATGTTTCTGTAGATAAAATGTATTGGAACACAGCCACAGTCATATCTTTGTGTATTCCATAATGGGTTTCACTATACAATGGCAGAATTGAGTAGTGGGGAAACAATCCGTGTGTCTCTAACAGCCTAAATTATTTGTGGTTGACTATTTGCAGAAAAAAAGGTTTGCCACCTTTTCCCTTATATATTGA